CAAGCTAAAACCCGTTCATAGTCAAGCTAACACCTGTTCAGAGTCAAGCTAACACCTGTTCAGAGTCAAGCTAACACATGCTCATAGTCAAGCTAACAACTACTCATCATCAAGTTAACAGTTATTCAGCATGAAGGTAATAACTACTCATTGTGATGCTAACAGCTACTCAAGAGTCAATTGAACTGCTTTTCACAATCAAACTAATAAAGAGTCAAGCTAATAACTACTCTCTAGCAAACAGCTACGTGAAGTCAAGCTAATCGCTATTCAGTCAAGCAAACGGCTACTCACAATTATGTTGATGATTACTTGGTGTTGTGCTATCATCTTTTTGTGGGCAGGGAACATTCAAGAGCAGTTGTTACCATAGAAAAGACGTCAAACAAAAAAGTCTGTTTTAAAAGCAATTTGAGTGAATTTAAAAATATTTGTTTTATCGCTTTTACTTGAAACAAGCGTTCACTTTTTTGATTAAAAAAAAAATCAATTTATGTTTATGTTGCTATGCTAACTGTTTGCAGTGAAGCAGCTGAATGTATCCTGTGCTGATAAAAAGTTATAACTCTTTCCTTGGTCGTATCTCAAAGCAGTGGTTACAGAAAGTAAAAATGAGTTATTCCTAAAACAAATGCATTGTTTCTTTTTCTGATGAGATAAGAGAACATCTAGGGGACTCAGTTTAGCAGAAGCATGGATTTTGCATAGATCAAACAGTAAGTTTGGTTAGAAAAGATCAAAACACAATTGCCTCATGCAAAACTAATGTAGAAAAAATAAAATAACATCGTGTTCACTCAAACATTTCACTCATCGCAACCAGAACTTAGCTTTTTTACCAAGTGACTTATATTTTACTTGTTTTGTAACCAGCTCATAAAACTCATGGAATTTATATTCAGTGAGTATTTTCTAGTTAATGCTTTAATCTAAATTTAACTTCCAGTTAAATTAAATTGCGTTACGTAGCCTCCCACTTGACCTGCACACTTAATTGGACTTGGGTGAAGATCTTGTGGCTATAATTACTTCTCAAACATAAAAATATATATTTATAAGGGGAAATGAAGCTGACCAAGCTGCTGCTGCTGTACTCCTCGCTTAGATTTATATAAAGTCCCAGCAAAGCAACCACAATTCCTTTAACGATTTTCACTGCTGCAATAGCCAATTTGTTCATTTTCAATTCGGTGGATCGTTAGGATTACTGTTCAGCCATGCAGTTTCACTAAAATCATTGCTATCAGATTGATAAGCATCATTAGGTTTGAATCTACGAGCTAGAAACAAAAGTTCAGTGTTTTTTGCAGACAGAAAAACTTCAGCAAATTAATTTCAGCGGTTCCATTTATGCGTGATAGAAGTGAATGTGATGTCGTGAATCCATTTAATCCTATTTTTTTCTAATGTATATATTCAGGTCTTGATGCAGCAGCAAAAGAGCAGAGCGTTTTACCGTATCCAGGCGACCAGGATGATGATCGGAGCCGGCAACATCTTAAAAAAGCACGCCGCTGACCAGGCCCGCAAGGTGAGGTGCTCCTTTACTCCGCTGTCAGCTTCTGCCCTGGCATTTAAAGCAGTTAAGGCGACAACTCGAGCGCGTGCTGCTTTAACGTTCTAGGTGGTGAGCAGCCATGAGACTCAGGCTCAGGAAGACGACCCTCACACCATCAGGTTGGAGTTCGAACCCTCTTTGTACCAGTGCTTTGAAAACTGCGGCTCTCTGAATTTGACCGTTGCCAGACATGGAGGAGACCCCGGAGTCACCGTCAAGGTGCGTTGGTTTTGGGAATTGATGAAATGGTGTTTGTGGGGGCGACACGGGGAAATAAAAAGACACCGCAGGAAAACAATCACATTTCTCGAAACTTTAGACTTGAATGGATTTTTCCCATTCTCACCTTCAGGGGGATTTGAGAAGTCTTGTTTTCTTTTCTAATTGGATGCTCCTGTGAAAGAGATGATGACTGGAGGAAAGCTGGGAAACAACAAAGAAAAAAACCTTCCTCTCGATTTTTATCTTTAGGCTGAGCCTGCAGCTCCAGGAAAACACCATCCCTTTGCAACAGATCATTGATCTCGGTGTTAATGTTGGCTCAAATCTCCGCATAGGCGGTTCTGTCTGAATGAGAGATCCCCCTGCAGGGAGCATCTGTTAGAAGGGCGGTGTCTGCATAATCTTGACTTTACATATAAATGTCACCATGTTGCGAGATCACTATTTAGAATTCACAATGCAAGAAGTAGACTCCAAGGGATACAAAGACATTTCAAAATTTTAGATAAATTATCTTCATTGTCCAGTCCCAGCACAACTCATTTCGCACTAATTCGATCTGGAACAGTCCTGCATGGACTTGGTAGTTTTCCATATACCTTGGTGCCACCTCAACGTTCAAGTTCAAGTTAGGGATGTGCGATATTACATAAAATTCATATCACGATATGTATTATGATGGGTGGCGATAACGATATATATCACGATATGATTTTAGTATAAAACGTTCAACAGGAATGAAAAAAAAAGCATAGTGTCCTTTTGCCATCATTTATTTTGAAAACTGCTACACCACAAAATAATCTCAATTAAGAAAATTCCACTACTAGGTCCAGAGAGTTTTTAAATAATAAACAAGTCAAGTATTAGGCTTCTTTCTTGTAGTTCAAAAAAGTGCAAAATATATCAAATGTAGCTTTAGCCATATGTTTTAATCAAAAGAACATGTTGTAAACTCTTAACAGTTTCCAGTATTCTCACTTAAGAAATGAACAGCAGCAGAGCAGCATGTTGCAGTGAAAACACTTCACCCTCCAAGTGTGTGTCTCCTTCCACTTTAATGAGAGCTGACACAAAATGGCGACCAGTTTCCTCTGTGGCTTTGACCAAAGGGTCTCGCAGTAAAATCACACAGCACGGCGTTCTTTTCACTGATCAGAGAGCAGGTTTAACCCCTTTTTTCCTTTCAAATGCACTCTCTAAAGCTGACGCAACGAACTTTCGACAAAAAAAACAACAACTTTCGACAGAACACAGAGTTTTGCGCATGCGTCTGAATACGAGTACGGCAAGCTGGCCGTAGTTAGCTTGTAGCCTGGGCCGGATATTAGCAGGGGCTTACAGGGGCTGCAGCCCGGGGCCCCGGCATTTCAGGGGCCCCGAAGGATGTTTTATGTTTTTGTGAATGGATAGTGTCAGAAGTTAATCAATGACTATGATGATTTTGACAGCACCGATGAAAAATGTTCCAATTTGTTCTGGAAAACGTCCATCTTGAATGCTTGCTTGTTATTGGTCCACTTTTGACACATCTTACGCATTGGGGAGGAGCATCAGGGAATATTATTTTACAATGGCAGACAACAGTGTTTGTGGTTCTAGTTCCTCCAAATAAGATGAATGCAGAAGTGTCATTAATAAATGGAAATCTGTATATTGTTCTTCATATTTTTCAAGATGTTCTCTGTAAAAACCTTGGTCTATA